AACCTGGTGATGAAAGAAGAGGAAGATGGAGTCCTCATCTTCTCCTCACTAGATTACCACCACCCTATCTTTCTTGCTTGTCCCCCTTCAGACTGTGTTCAGACCAATCCTCCTGAATCCCAGCTTTAAGTGTTCTTTCCTGCATACAACCTATCTTTAACAGCTCAAGTCCTGCCCCTATTCCTAACTAAATGCAAGATCCAGGGCAAGTACCTTATCTTCTATGGTCCTCAATTTCTTCATTGGTAAAATGAAGTGTTCTATTAATTATTGTAAGATGAAGAGTAAGTAGTTACCTATTATCTATGAGGATGCCAAAAATATGTGTACACATTTTAAGAATGATGTTCACTCAAAAGATGTCACTAATGAAATGAATGCTAGCGTGTGTCACCATGTGACACGCAAAACAGTCAAAGAAAATGGCAGAAGAATGGATGAGCAAACATCATGCTACACATTGCTACCATAATTCAACTCAGCTTCAGAAAGTAATATATAGATAACATCTCTTAAAATTGGTATACATTTTTTGGCACTGCCTGTATTTTAGCTATTGAGAAGAATGCTCTGTGAAATGTATACAAATATTAAGTGTTCACTGGACAATGAAGGATAATGCAATGGAAATTTAAAATGTATTATTTGCCTTCAAATTCTAGTTAGGAGGAAGATATGTGCAAATAAACTTTGTAACCATATAAGGCCATATGTGATTGAGTGAAGCATGTGGTCTCCCTGTTTTACTATTGCTATGAACTTTATAACTGAAGATTCTGAATCCCAGGTTGCACATAACTGTATATTTCCCTGTGTGGAGCCAGTTTACTTTTTTTTTCTCCTTAACAAGATTGAAAAAGAATATATCTCCCCTTACTTCTCTATTGAAATTCAAAGAAAGTATAAAATCTGGATTGGATGAAAAGGAAGATGAACCTAGTCATGAGAATCCAAATAAAGGTTTGACCCAGGGATGATTAAGTTAGATATTAGGGTTATGAACTGACTATCTGGGATGGAGGACTTGAGTATTGGGTGGTAAAAGGGAAAGCGAACTGAAAGGATAAGGAAGCATTTTAAGTGTCACACTGGGAAGTAGGTACTTGATCCTCAGAAAGAAAGTGATAATTTATTAAGCATAAGAGGGACTTTTTTTTTAAGGAAAGGTGATTTAGAATTAATCTTTCATTACATCACAGAATAAAATAAATCTGTGTTGGCAATTCAATCTCAGCTGCATGTCAACCTCAACCATTTGTAGTAGCTTCTTGTAGTACCATGTTGAAAAGATTCTGAGGCTACTTGGGCTCATAGGAAAAAGTTCCTTGATCTATTATTCTGGCTGGCACAGCACACATACTGGGTTTTTTCTATATATGGAACAAACAAAATGTCTCATAGCTGAAAAAAAAATATGTAAGTCATACTAATTCATTTTGAACATAAATAAGTACAGAATCAGAGACATGGAAGTAAATGTAAAGGTAATGAAACCAAAGCTACTGGTTTTAATAATTAAATTGAGATGTGAACTCAAGAACAACCACAGAAAACCTAACCTCAGCATTTAAAGCACAGGGAGGTAGTATGCTGTCACTGAATGAGAGAGAGAGAGAGAGAGAGAGAGAGAGAGAGAGAGAGAGAGGAGAGAGAGAGAACTGAGGAGACTCTGCAAGATCAAAAGAATGGACAGGAGGGGGATGTCAGAAGAAATATTCTAGTAAACTATGTCTGATTACTATAAAAGGGCCACTGGGTGTCAAAGAGTTTAACCAAGACACAGTAAAGGTGTCCATGTCCATCAGCTACTGTTCTGTGCCAAGTGAGCCTGGTTTAGGAATGCAGAGGTAAGGAGTCTCTTAAATATTTTGTTTAGCAGGAGAGTAAGATGCTCAAGAAGTTAAATAAGTACTACTCCAATATTATATAAGTGTTCTTTGTAGAGCCCAAGGCAGGAGAAAGTAAATTTGCCACAGTAAGTTAGAAAAGAGCAAAAATGCTGACATCTGCACTGCATCCATGTTGATGTTGGTCAATGCAGTTGATTCATATATTTATATTGTTATTTATGTTATATGCTTATTTAGAATATATTATATGCTATAATCCAATAGATATTTAACATGTATTTATCCTCTTATGTAAATATTCTACATATTATTTATCCATTATACCACTAATAGGTATTTTGCTTATTTCAAGTTTTGGGGGATTATAAACAGTGCTACTATGACGAATCTTGTATATGTTTCCAGGTACAAATATTAAGAGATTTTTTAAAAATATATTTTTAAATTATACAGATTGGAACAACTCTGAAGCACTTGGCCTACTGCACGGCACAGAATCTATACTGGCTCTTCAAAGGACATCTTTTCAAGCACCTTATGTTGTCAGGACAAGTAGAACTCCTTCCCTTCTCATTTGAAATCCATAGTCAGATGTAACAGGGGCTAGTACTCAAGAAAGTTAATTTTTGTCATCTTTTTTTTTCATCAATCTTTGAGGGACAGGAATGCTGTATAAGCCTTTCCTCACAGAAATATATGACAAATTTTGGGCACTTGACATTAGCTTCCTTAGCAGGGACCAGGTCAGCCTCATCAGAGTTCCTGCATTGCATCAGAAACATGAGCTTGACACTGGAGTCTGTAGCCCCAGTTAATCCACTCCTGCTCCAAACTCTGCAAAGCCTCATAGGTTTTCTGACTCTTCTTTCTTCTTTGATTTGCTCTCTTCTCCCTTATCTTCAGAATCAGACTCAGCTTGGATCAGCTTCGCACCTTTCTCATGGTCTCATGCTGTTTTCTGTGACTGTAGAAACTCAGTGAGGTGGTCAGGGCAACCCAGGTTTTCTTCTGGTTTCCACATGTCCTCATGTGAGAAATCCTTTCACTTTGCCCTTTACCATTGGATGGTTGGTGGAGAACTTTTTCCAACACATGCTTCTCCTTCTCCTCTTCCAGCACCTCCTCCACTTTCTGCTTGTTTTCGTTTTTCCCCATAGTGCCTGCCAGCATTCTGGTGTTCTTTATTCTTTCTTACCAAGTAGTGATACTTATATGATATACCATATAGCCCTTTAAAACTGAGAGGGATTTAAACTTCTGGTTCAAGATCATAATTTGGATCTAAGTAATTCTACCTTCATTATTCTAGTTTTCCCTTCTTTGTTTGCTTCCTTTTTTCCATATATTCAGGAATTGACAACCTTAATAAATGGTTTTTGTCCCTAGTGATAAAGTCATAAAAAAAAACCTTGGGAAAAACAATAAATAAAATCAAGAGTCAATAAGAAAAAAGAGAAGAGTTAAGGATAAAGAAATGAGGCAGTAACCATGCCATCCTTGTTTTTAAAAAATACTTATAACTTACTTCTCTTCTTAAAATAGAAGAACCAAGAAGTTTTTAAAAATCCAGTTTTAATGCTGAATTTTCAGCTTTGACATACTTCCTGAAATCTGTGATCTAATAACAAAAAAAGTATGGTGCTAATTATTCTTTTATAAATCATGTCATTTAGCCGGGTTCAGTGGCTCAGCCTGTAATCCCGCGTCTTTGGGAGGCTGAGGTAAGTGGATTGCCTGAGCCTGCAGGTTCGAGACCCGCCTGGGCAGTGAGACCTCATCTCTACAATAAATCAAAAAATCAGCCGGGCGTGGTAGTGTGTGCCTGTAATTCCGGCTACTCGGAAGGCTGAGGCGGAAGGATCGCCGGAGCCCAGCAGGCGAGGCTGCGGTTGCCGGGAGCATCCACTGCACTCCAGTCTGGGCGACCGAGTGAGACTCCAACTCAAAAAAAAAAAAAAAATCATGTCATTTATTTAGCTCCATACTATAAAAAAAACTTATTTTGAAGCATATGTTGAAATTAATAGAAGCCATTACACTAATAATAGCTTTAAAAACTAATGAGTTCATAACTAAAATTATTTCCAAAAATTCAAAATGAAAAGTAAAACAAATAGATATTTTTCAAAGATTTCCAATAAAAATTACCTTTATTTTTACTTATTTAGGAAGAATTAGCTAAATATTTTACAAAACAAATTGAGAGAATTTTGTATAACTATTCATATTAAATTAAAGCTACAAAAAAATTAAAGCTACAATGATGAATAATTACTGATGTTTGATGTTAGTAAATGTCAAATTAAAAGACGAGTATGCAGATTTATCCCACATCAACTCTATTTTCATCACTTAATTGCAGTATTATCATAATGATTTTCGTTCATACTTCACAGAGGTACATTACCTTCTTTTGTGCCTTTTAACTCTATACTGAGATAAAGTCACATTAATTCATGAGTTTGCATAGAAAGATAATTCAACTTATAAAGAATAAACATTGACCAGGATAATTTAAGAGGTACTAACATTTGTTCCTGTTACTTGATTTTTTTCATACAAATAAGAACATGTAATAGCTTTAAATTGCTGCTTTGCAGGTGAAAATTCAAAATGTATTAAACAGTATGAGATTTGGGGAAGAAATCTGATCCATTTTTTTAACAACATGTAACACCATGAATTTCAATTTGTGGTTCAAACATTTATTTGAAGTTAATAAAGACAAGAAGGAAGAGGAAAGAGAAGGAACAGAGAAGGATAGGGAAGAGAAAAACGGAGAAGAAAAGGAGAGAGGAAGGAGAAGGAACGGAAAGGGAGGAGAAGAGGGAAAGGAGAACATAAGAGGAAAAAATAAAAGGAAAAGGGAGAGAAAGATAAGAAAAAAAAAGAGGGGAAGAAGAGAGAGTAGTAGGAGAGAGGAGGAAGAGAATAGGAAGAAGGACAAGGAAAGAACAGAGGAGGAAGAAGAAAAAATAGGGAAGAGTAGGAAGGAGGAGAATAGAGGGAGAACAAAAACAAAGAGGGAAGGGGAAGCAGAACAGAGGAGAGAGGCAGAGGGAAAAGAGAAGGAGAAGAAGATTTCATTCTCTGGTCTATATTCAAGTCAAACGCTTCATTTTAGTTTTTCATTCCTTAAAGCTAACTCACCATTGCAGTTGCCATTGGATAGAGAATTAAGCAACGTGTTTTGTTCACACTGAAATGAAAACAAATGTTAAGAAGAAAAATGTTACAAAAGCTCATTTCTCTCTGTGAAAAAAAACACACCACTCTTTTATCTATAAAGAATAACAAAACACTAGTTTACAAACATTATTTTTCACTAGCCTTGTTTTCAGAATGATGTATACAACAAACTTTTAAATAAAAGCATGATAATTGGTCCTAAGTAATATTAATTCAGTAGATCATTTGTATTATCAAGTAAGACTGGTTCTTTAGAATATTTTCTGCAAGACTGCATTAGTTTTGGATCAGAAATTAAACATTTGCATGTGTTTTTTAATGTAGCCTATTTAATCAGAAATTAATTTCATTAGCATAGCATTCTCAGAGGGAGAACCACTGATCATCTATTTTATATTATACAAAAGTTAACTATTCATCAGTAGCTCCATTAAAATGCCTAAGAAACATTCCTGATTTATGAAAATACTGGAGAATGAACATGTCTCTGTGTCCTACAGTAAAGCTTCTCTGAGAATAAAAGATGCCTCTAATGAAATCATGTACTATCTACTTCTCAAACAATGTGTTATTGTTATTTTTGTTAATGATGATGAAGATGATAACAATTGATATTTCTTTAATACTTACTATATACTGGGGACTTTACATTAATCATTTAATCCTCAGAACAATTGTATGAAGTATTAATCTCATTTTCCATATGAGGGAGTTAAAGATTAGAAAGATTAAATAATTTGACCAAAGTCACAAAGCTACAAAGAGACTGGGCTAGGAACAAAGTCCATACCCTTCCAATTCCAACCTAATGTTACCAGTAACTACATTGTATTCTTCACCAGGAAATCAGTTTTCATCTTACAGGCTAAGGAGAACCTCTATACTCTCCTCTTGATACCAAGTGATTCAAGTCTGGTTCGGACTACTATTAGCTCATACAACTTCTGCTAAGTTGTTTCATATTTTGTGTCTTACTCTTCCTTTTATGTAACATTCAGGCAATCCCACTTGCATTGTAAGGTTGGTGATGACTGTTAGACAGCCTGATTAAAGAAACGAACCCCTGAGAGTTATTCAACACATATAAGTTTCCTTCCTCTCTTCTTAAAATACCTTGTCTGAAATCTCTTGTGTAGAAGAATTTCAAATAATATTTATAGACACTCCACCATGAAGGAGGTGGATCATAACTCTATACTCCTTAAGTGTAGACTCCACAGTGACTTTCTTCCAAAGAAAATATAGAAGGATATAGAAGGGAAGAAAATAAAGTAGCTTTACAATAGAGAAAACTGGCATGCACTACCTCATCCAGTTGACCAGGGTTGACATCAACAGAGATAAAACATGTTGATATACCCTTGATATGATGTGATGAGAGGGGCACTTTACCTCTATAGCTATCCTCCCATGCTTAGAAGGGTCTCCCACTTGGTTTAATGCTCTACTGTCACCACATTGAAATTCTTAATTATTGTTGAATAACATACTACACATTTTCATTTTGCACTGAGTCCCTGTAAACTACATTTCTGATCCTGTATATAGGGCCTCTATGATATGGATCAAGTGAGGCCCAGAGGCAGAAGCATAAAGCTAGGAGGTATAGGATTATAGCTCAAGACAGCTCCTGATGCATCAGAAATGGGAGGGCCAAGATTTTCTATGTATCTGAGTAACTGAGAGATGATACATGCCCAAGGATATAAGAGAAAGAAGAAGTCTTTGTGATCTAGGTAGGTGAGGAAAGCTTCATGGAGAAGACAGTCAAATAGAGTAATACTATTAGTGAAGTTTCTATAGTACTGAACAGGCCAAGCATTATTCTAAGTGTTTTGCATATGTTAACTTATTTATTTAATCATTTCAATTACAGATAAGGGAACCAAAGAACAAAGATTTAATAACTCAGTTAAAGTCCCACAGCTAATAAGTGGCAAATGCAGGCAGCTTCGAAGTCCATGTTCTTAGCATTGCAGAGGGCTCAAGGATTCAAATGATGATAGGAAGCTCATTTATATCAAATCATACAGATATACCTTTGATTTAACAACTCTGTTAATGAACATTACTTTGGAGTAAAGAATTCTGGGATTTTATAATAATGTTATCACAATAACTGCAATAGTTTATGCTTCTTCAAAGTCATTTATCATATTCTATCACTTTAAAAGTGAGATCTAATGTCTTTTTGTTGTTGTTGTTTAAGACCTTGTAAAAAGATCTTTTACATTAGGTCATTTATCTTATTTATCGTCCTCAGTGTTATAGTACCTGGTACACATGTCTATTAGATATACGCTGAAGGAGTGAATAAACGAACAAGCGAGTGATGACCTAAAGGCTAACTACAAGAGATAAATAAAAAGTATAATGAAAAAATTAGGTTTTGCTGAGGGGAGAGGTCTCCATACAGTTTTATAGTGTGTTATTATTTATGTGATAACTTTTTTTTTAGCATCACAACATAATGCTACTTGTAATATGACATTCTAACCAAACCACCAAGCCTACCTTGCTGATATCATCGATTGGCTGGTTGCTGGCATTTTCCTTTTGGATTAGGTTCATTAAATCGGTATAAAATTTCTTTGCATTCATAAAAACAAGTGGGTTGTTTATTGAGATAATTTTCACCTGCTGCAGGGTTTCCTTTTAAAGGAGAAAAAGAAATAGATTCAGAACTCCAAATTAGATAAAAGAGAATTATATCCAATGAGTCTAAATCTCACAAGTTCAAATGTCACTCTTAATTAATATTTTAATTATTAAAATGTATATAGAGGCTTTAATGTTCTATTGTACTTCTTGGGGAAAATATATACTTCCTCTTTACTAAGAAACATTAATACTGGTAAGTCCACAGTTTTTCAGAAAGTAGCCTTTATTCCTCCAGACTAGGTTTTGGGGAGGCAGTAGCCTAGAATACCCAAAAATTTCCAGGAAGACCTAGGCTCCCAAAAGGACCTCTTCCATCCAATCTATCTGTTGAAAATTAATTTACTTCATCATCAATTTTTTTAAATGAAAATGTGTCCTAAAGGGTCAACTTTCAGCCTTTTCCCTCATAACAACATAGCTTTCCTTCAACTGAAATATAACTTTACAAGTAACTGACAGTCCTAATTTGGAGGCAGAGATGAGAAAGTAGGATTGGGAATATAACTTCACTTCGGGCAGACCTATGTAACTGGATTGCTAGAATTTAGGCAAGAGATACAGAAAGGGAGGTAAAAAATGTTTTGACACAAAATATGTCTGCCTTGGCCATTTTCCTAGATATTACTGGCAGTACTTGGTGGTATGTAACAAAAACCTTTTTCTCTATGACCTTTAGGGCAGGTGTCTGACCTAGAAATTGGGAGGATGGTAAATTCCATGAAAGGACAACTCCTTGCCAACCAAATAAAGCAGTACTCCTTCAGGTTTTAGTACCTCCATGGAAGAGGAGATGCAGAGAATAGGGATGCATACAAGCAGAAGACAGAAAGATGAAAAAGAAAATATCAGGTATGTTAATTTGGACAATTCATTTAAACTCTCTCAGCCTCCTCATTTTTTAAGTTAGGTAAATGTTTAGGCTAGATAATCTCAAAACATTTCTATAGCTACACAAATGATTAAACTAGAAAGTGAGGAAATTTGCAACAAGTACCTCAAAAAAACAAAAAATTGCCCTAAGTTGCCAAATTAACTTTTAGTCAAGAGTAAACCTCTTAGAAATCAAAAACAAAATATTAATTCTTAGGCCTGCCATATTTAATTATCCCAAAGCATCAATCTTAGCTCAACCCACTAATCACAACAAATGATAGTGCCGATATGTTGTTTTTAGTTAATATAAAAAATATGTATTTGTTAAATAGAGATTCGAATTGTTCCAGAGAAGAAATTCTCAATAGGGTTGAATACACTGAGTGGGAAGAGATCTCCCAAATTAGGAATGGTATCTCACATGAAGAAGAGGTGGAAGAGTGCAAGAATGGATGAAAGAAATGACAGATCAATTTTATTTAGTTAAAAGTTCCACCTAGCAGTTTATATTCAAATCTTTCTTTAGTTCAGATTTTTCCCTCTTATTTTGGAAACATTAAAAACATTAAATAACTAGTGAGGTGTAATATTCTTACAAAATTAAAATGTCCATATGACACAGCTGTTATTCAGATCAGTGACTAGAACCAATCAAGATTTAAAGATGTGGAGAAATTTCTAGCATTTTCATCTTCCTAAAAATCCCCTCATTTGCTTCCCTACATGCCTAACCCAAGAAGAAGGTAAGAATTAGACAGAAATTATTAACCAGTTATTTTTAATAAGCCAGAAGTCAATTTCTGCTCAAAGCTAAAGAGGTCAAGGCAAGTGCATGAGTACATGTAGTATCGATACACAGAGAACTTCAGGGGTCCCCAAGAGTCAGTCTGAGACTTTGCACAGTCACTAAATTCCCATGGAAAATTTAAGGAGGGAAAAGAAAGGCAGAGTTGATAGAAAACTTGAGCCTGGAACACCCTCAAATTCTCTGAACTCAAATAGCTCTCTGTGAAGCAAATCTTCTCATTTTATTAAACACAAGCCAGTCCCCTGGGTGTCATAGAAGAGCTCCTGATGCTACTTCCTACTTCCAGTTTATTTGGAAACACCCTGACACTGGTCCTTTTGGTGGGAGGCCAGTTCTCTCTGCTCTTGTGAGAATCATGAGGTGCTGAAACAAGTGCATGTGAAAAAGAAAGAAAAAAGGTTGCCCAAACATTTACAAAGCGGGTTCAACGTGAGGACAATTTTTTTTAATTGGCAAAAATATTTCATGTCAATATTTTTTTCTCACTTTAAGCTGTTTTGGCCATTCCTTAGAATAAAAAATTAGAACTCAGACATAATCAATTGGCCCTCCTAAGCACAGCAGGGCAAGACAATTTGTGTAAATTGTTTCCTTATAAAAGTGTCCACTGTGCAGGAAACCAGTCCTATTTACACTCCATTATCATTGGACTTGATTACCTTCTGCTAACATACAGACACCTTGAGTTTTTGTTTTTTCTCTTTTAAAGCAATACCATAAACCAACTTTGCTTTATTCTCTCTTCCTATTCCCTATCTTCCCTCATCACTTATTGCAGAATAGACTATCAGTTTGGTTTGATTATTTTGTGCAACTTAGTAAGGGAAAAGAGGTTTCCAAGTGCCTTAACCAATCTGAGGCATGATTCTACATTGAACTGTAGTTCTATAAAACATGTGATGGCCATATCTTAATGCTGAATCCAAAGAGACTTTTTGTTCTATTGATTTGCTGCATGTCCATTGCCACATGTGGTGATCACACACATACCACTGGAAGTTCATACCAATTAAAAAGAAAATTCTCACGTTTTAACTGTTATAATTCTTCTGTTTTTTTCATAATATCTTAAAACTATCTCAACAACAAAAATTATTCATAATAGCCCAAAGGAAAAAGAAAACTAAACTTACACTGTCCGTTTCTGTCTTTACTTTAAATTCCATTTCTTTCGTGTTTTTTATACTTAGAGTTTTTGCTCTAAAATTAGGGAAGATAGAAAATAAAATAAGTCACTTCACAATCACTATAGCAATGAAGACACCAAAAAGATAAGTCATATAACAATTAGAATGTGTCTGAAATAGTTTAGATCCTATAACCCATTTGTTCATAAGACATTGGCAAATCTATATATCTCTGAAATACTGTGGAATAGAGGGTAGTAACAGAGACTTCTATATAGAGATTAATAAATGTAATTTACCTCATTTGGGTGCCCAGAGCCCCCATCTCCAGGATACAAAAGGTGGATTGGTAAAGGAGAATTGTAAAAAATAAAATCCAGGTCATTGCCAGGCCATCCAACCATTGCCAGACCATTGTGGCCAATGCCTTGCTAAGCTATGGTGTGGTCATTTGCTCTTTGAGCTCTGACCATCACCATGTTTCCTGAACTTAACTTCCTCCCCTACCTTGAGGAGGTGAATTCCCCCCATCCAATTTAGTTTTAAATAAACTATATTTTCTTATCTAAAAACAAAAAGAAAATCCAGAGGGTATGCGGCATTTTATAAAATCTTGTTTTAGAAAAAGAAAGGAAAGATAGGTCCAGATAATAATGAATATGCATATACAAATTCTATAAAGATAGAATCTATAGAGATAAAACTTAACATTTTTTCAGAATATATCATTTTCGAAGTAATTTCATGAAAAATGAGTAGAAGTACTAACAGATGAAGGGGAAGCAGAAAAAGAATTGGTCAAAATAGGGAAATGATTCATAGATGTCTAGTAAAAAGACTAAAAGTGAGAATGTTCTTCAATAAATCATCTTGAAAAGTGTGTGCACATAGATACAAATATAAGTCAATCTGGCTTCTAAAAAATAAAATTCTCTGAAGTTATTTAATTTTCCAAATGATTTTGTTTGTGCATTAGATACTCTATTTCTTCACCTAATTAAAAAATATATATATTATAAGGCTAAGGGGTTTATCTATTTCAATAGATTTTATGTATTCTATTTGATAATATTAGTAAGCTATTTCTCTTCATTAAGATCAACATTGTTAAATATCATGTGCAAGTAAGACATTTTCTTATCTGTTTCTAATTCTCTGATAGCAAGTAAAATATGAGAATGTAATACTCTATGTTACACAGAAATAAAAGTAACTGGTAGTACCAAATACTTTGCTGCTGCATCAGAATAAACAGCACATGTAAATAAGATCTTACCTTGGGAAGCGTCCTATCACTATGGCTATGGTACAGACAACTCCAAACAGCAGTCCCACATTGGCAGCAAAGCAGATTGTAAACACATACGTACTGACCCATATGCCCTGAGAGGGAATTGGGAAACAGAAGGTGTAGGTCCTTTGGAATTTTCATCTTTCTCATGATTGCTAAGTTTCTCACAATCATATTCTATGTTCCTGTGACTAAATCTCTCAGCAAGAACACATTGCATAAGAAGTGGCCAACAGAAGCCCAGGAATACAGAAACATATCCTGACTCCATCAGACTCTCAGCAGCAAAGGCAGGGAAAGGTTCATTTTTTTTACTTCCAGACACTGCCAACCCCTAGTTCAATTCCCCCCAAAGAACACTATATTTAAGGTCTCTAAATAGTTGGTTGATATGTATGGTTCAAAAGTATGTCATAATTTCCCACTGCTTTCTAATTTAATGTAGTAATATTATAAGCAATTGTTCACAGATTTTGGGTTATTCTCAACAATATTCTATTTTCTAGGATTGCTATAAAAATAACTAATGTAGTTTATTTAACATGAAGCTCTCAAAGTCTAATGTTAAAATGATTGAATCAAACAACACTGCCAATGCCACTTTTAGATCAGCCACTATGAAGATCATTATAATTTTATTTGCAAGGGACTGTTTATTGTGAAAGCTAAAAAATCAGGGTTAACTTATGTTTTGGAAACACTTCAAAAGATTACAAGAAACTCTAATTCTCTTTTAGTTGGAATTCCAAAAGTTATTGCAGGTTTTTTTCCCCACTTAAAATTATAATTTGCAACAAGATATTGCATTATAGTTGGCATTTCTAAGGTTAGTACTCCAAAAAATATATATTTAAAAGCAAAATAATTTGTGAATTTCAGAAGCTTATATTTTTCTAAACACAAAACCTTGAATTTACCAAATAGTAGACCAACAATTTTTTTTTTTTTTTTTTGAGTTGGAGTCTCACTCTGTTGCCCAGGCTGGAGTGCAGTGGCACACTCACGGCCACCCCAGCATTGACCTGCTGGGCTCTGGGGATCCTTCTGCCTCAGCCTTCCAAGTAACCAGAACTACAGGTGCATGCTACCATGCCCGGCTAATTTTTTTATTTATTGTAGAGACAAGGTCTCACCAAATTCCCCGGGCTGGTTTCAAACCCGTAGGCTCACACAATCCAGTCGCCTCAGCCTCCCAAAGTTCTGGGATTACAGGCTGAGCCACCAAGACCAGCCGACCAACAAAATTTTTAACTTCTCTCTTTTCTCCCAAATAATCTGCATCACTTTGCCTACGAGTACAATTCTAGATTGATTTCTTTCTGTCCCAATAGCTGTATTATCACTTTAATACATCTTCAAAACATAATTCAATTTCATACACAAATGAAAAATTTAGAAATCTCTCTGCATTTTAAAAATGGCATAGAACATTGCGGGGGATGCAGGGTTGTTGTTTTTTTTTTTTTTCAGTCAATGAAACAAATATTTCTAATGGACTTTTTTTTCCTTAAAGCTCTTCTCCTTTTTTGTACTATTTATCTACACTGAGCTTGAGTGATTGTTAATAACAGGCTGTTTTGAAAAGCTGAGCCCTTGAAAGCAAATGGAGGAACTTCTATCAGAAAATTTATTTGATTTTGGATAAACAAACATATGGAGAAGAGAAAATATATTTTAAATTATTCTAAAGCTAAGAACCATCACCTATAAATGTAATGCTAAGTTATTGCTTATTATGAGATCATTCCCAGCTTGTCATCTCATAGGTTAGGAGACTGAAATGTTTTTCTTCTATTAAAATGAATAGGTAGTCATTTCAGTCTTCAACTTGTTCACAGTGTGATTTTACTTCCTAGTGTATTACACTGTACTTAATCATATACAAAATAAGGTTGCAAGTTTTTGTCCATTACTTCAATCTCCCATGATAACTTTGAGTCTCACTCATTCTCAAATGCTGACTGAACCTATCTGAGTGTGGCAGAATAAGACCTCACCAAAAGTCTTATACCTCTAATTCCTCTTGGCCAACCTCCATGATTCAATATGGCAAAGGGAACTAAGGATCGGTCTCTGCCACTTAAAAAAAAATCACAGAGCCTAGAGGCTGGAATTCATCAGAGTAACCAGAAATTTTGGTACCATCTAGTTCTATTTTTAAAGCATATTTACTCGCCCACAACATCATCTATTATAAGTCGGACTTTACAAATGCTTCCTTATTTCCTGGGGCTACATTTATAGCTTTGAAAAAACATCAAATGGAAATTAATAACATAGATTAGTAAATCGTTCCATTGGTTAGAATAAGCAAGTCTCAACGGTATTCTGTAACAATTTCTGCTAAAGACCCAAATGCTAGTTGTCAGTTATCAGGAATTGATTAGCTCTTGGGCCCCTATTTTCTTCTTTCATTATGTGTTTCTACTTACTCCTTTACCTGTTGGGCACTCGCAGTCATCAAGTACAAACTCACTCAAAACAAACAAACAAGCAAACATAAAATATAACTAAAATAACCCCAATACTGACCTTCAGTAGGGAACACGAAAATATTTTCCTCTTATAAAATGCATCAACATAAAGCATAGTTTAACAGCTACCTGACATCTCCCTAATTTACATGATGTACTATCTGTTCTGTTGACAGATTCATACTTTTACATTTTTATAGATCTGATTTCTATATCCACTCATTGCTACCCAAACTCAGTTCAGAGTCCATGAATAGGGACTCTGTTTGGATCTCTATTTCCTCATTAATTCAAAAAGGGTTTTGCCCTACAACTCAAAATAATATCAATAAAGTATAAAAAATTTAAAGAAATAAAAAATTTTCTGGTTTTCCATATTTTAACTACTTCCATGATTTGTTAAACTTTAAACTTTTAAATTATTTTATATAATTTTTTAAATAATTTTAGTTTTATGAGATTTTAGGCATATTCTATCTATTGAGTAATCTAGAAATATTATGTCTGTTGGGTAATAAAGCCTATATACACAAAAGTCTGTACAATATTCTTACTTTAAATGCTATGCCCATGTCATAACCCAATAATTCATGACTGTTCACTGTTGGATCCCTTGGCAGCTAAGAGACACCAGTCTACTCTAACCATAAACAGCCATTGTCAAGCTAACTTCAATGTCCCATTGAATCGTCAAGTACTTGCTATATCCATGTCACCTTTTGTAACATTACTATTTGCCCATACCATATTAACTACTTATTACAAATTTGTAGCTATCACCTCTAAGTAGGAGACTACAAATTCTGATTTCTTAAACAAGTTTTCAAACTATCAAATACCTTCAAACGTAGCATGTCTATTCACCCCAAATATGTGTCCTTCTGCCAATGATGTTATCCTTCAGATATAGCACAAATATACACCAGTAAACTAAAATTAGAAGCTAGGGAATCATACTTACTCTCCTCTTTCATCTAATGTCCAATCATTTTGCAAGTCTTATAAATTATTAATCAAAAATATCTCAAACCATATCTCTCCCAATACACTAATAATAATCTAGTTCCCACTTAACTGTCCCTTTTCTAGATTATTTTGATTGTCTCCTACTTAACTATCTATTTTTGTTATCTGCATTGTAAACTATTTGCCATACTGCTGTCAGAATTGATTTTCTATGTATAAGCTTGGATATCAGATTTAGATAATATATTAAAGGCATTTTTACTCTACCCGCATCTTCAAAATCCACTGAAAACAATATAAAAATAAATAAATAGAAGGAAAAAAGAGTATCAAGAAACAAGAGCATGGTAAAAACTTCTAACTATAAAATATTATACAAACCTTTCCAACACCGTGAAATTTAGGTGATAACCAAGAGGGACACTAGAAGCCACCAAACTTATCCTCAGGGTTCAATCAATTGTAGATTTTTGCACGTATGCCAGTCCTAGAAATTCTATAAAATAGTCGTCTGATAAAAAGCTTTTAGGGGCAAGAGCTTCTAAGTGCTAGAGTCAAAGATGGGCTATTAGGGAAACAGGAAATGTACCCATAGAGATTTGTTTGATACCATAGCATGGCAGAAGTAAAAGACCATTTGTATAACTTACAACCTAGCTTTCTCATCATAGGAGACTGCTAGAGGTGACACAAGATAAAGAATAAAGAGGAGACAACACTGTTAGATCACCAGAGAGCCTGTGATTTCTGAGGCTTTGCTTCAACTAGGGACACATCCTCAGAAGACCTATCTAAATCAAAATTGGGAACTAGTTGACCTCATTTCTTACCTCCTGCCCTCCCTGCATTGTTTTTCAGCGAATAGCTAAGTCTACTAAAAATTAATGACAATCTTAGAGAAATCATCAAGGGACTTATTCACAGAAATGAGGAAAAGAAAGAAAATAATAAAATAGAGACAAAGAGTGGGCTTGGATATTTAATAGGCAATGTAAACTCAGGGAAAACAAAACCCTCAAAAATAAATTAAAATATTCAAAGAAGAAATACGCTATCAAGAAGAGAAAAACTGAAGAAGATTAAAAAACAAGCTGGAATAATTTGCTGGAAATGAAAACATTACAGAGGTAAAAGCCATATTTAACACTAAAAAGATAATCACAACTAGAAATACATCATTAAATATATACGAGTAGTCAAAAGAAAACACACACAGAAAAGTGAAATAATTATGTGAAATTATATAGATATGAAGAACAAAATAATTATGTGAAACTATATAGATATGAAGAAAGGCAAAGATAAATCAACAAATACATAATTAGTTAAGAAGTGAGTGGAACATGTAGACTTGAAAAACCATTCAAAGAAATATTAGAAGAAAATATTATACAAGTAATTATTGATTCTGAGATCAAAAGAAGAAAGAACTTCATTTAGCATCCATTTAGGAAAACAAACTCGCTAAGCAAAAAAAAAAAAAATCAGGTTGACCTGTGGCTGCTCTACCTTATTCCTCAACACCAGAAGATAATACCAAGTCTAAAATGCCCTGAGAAAAATCATTTTAGATTCAACCAAAAACTTTCCCCTAATACATAGAAAACAGGTAGATATTTTCACCATGAAATCATTAGGGGAACATGGAACATAAAATACATGAGCCCTTCTTGGAAAACTACTTGGTGATGACATACAGAAAACAGAGAGAAGATAAATAACTCAAGAATGAGAATCTATAGTTTTAAAAGACTAAAGATAACCACTAAATGCTTTCAAATAATAGAATCTTCTGTATTCTACAACTTGTTAAGTGATATATCATCTTCTTCTATTGAAATCCCAAACTAGAAACTTAAAAGTCATTCTAGACTGATTCACTTTATATAATGAACTGGGGGTGAGGACTAACTAATCCAACCTCTTTAATATTTTTCAGTCTATTTTCTCTTCTTGAACTTCATGGTCTCAGTCTTGGTCTAGACTTTCCTCAGTTGTTTGGCTGAATGGCTAGAGCAATGCAGTATATTCCTCCAGCTTGATCCATCTTACTCAATCTATTCAACTGACCTTTTAAATACAGAAATTATATTTGTTTCACCTTTCAGTGATGCTTTGCTGCCTTCAGAATGAAGTCAAATTGTCTTTGCACGACATGAGCAGCCTTTCCCAATCCAACCCATTTCTTAACTTTTCCACCCTCATCTGTTACTACCCCCCCTCACACAAAGTGTTCTACCTATATCAAACATCTTGATTTTTCATAGCCTGATATGCTTATACTCATCTCTGTATCTTTGCATATGTGGCTCTTTTTCCCTTCCTCAGGTAATCTATTCAGTATCCAATTCTCAACTTAGAAATTATTTCCTAGAAGCCTTCCTTGACATCTCTCCCCCTCTAATATGGTAACGTGATTCCTTCTATGTGATTAATGAGACTCCTTGATCATAGGGTTAACAAGCAGCTTGTTGAATAAGTTTGCATCTTTCCATTTATTTGTTTCCATGAATTACCTCACATGTCTCACCTTAACAAAGTCGTGGCTAATTTGGCCTCTTGGCCTGCCTACCAAATACTGTTCCTTCAAGTTTCAGTTCATATTTCTGCTCTGCTATGAGAATCTTCATGTTAATCAGTTCAAATTAAATATCCCTGCCTCTATTTTCCCTCAGAACTAAGCTTATACTTTTACTTCCAAGTCATGTTATATCATGCTTTGCTTAATAAGTTAGTGTTTCTGTGTCTGCTTCCTGCACAAATGATAAACATCTAGAGAGGACTAGTAGTTATTTTTTCATCTCTACATTCCTTATGGTACCCAGCATTATACTTTGGTAGGAACTCAGTAATATTAGGCCCCAGGAGTAAGATTGTGGAAACAGGCACCAGAATAAATAATGCCCCAAAGTCTCTCAGAACAAAGGATCTGAAGTAGAGAAGCTACATAGATCTTTATATTTCTTTTCATTTTCTTGTCTTTCTAAACAACAGTAGTTTATTGACTCATGGTTCTGGAGGATGCACATTCAAGGTCAAGGTGTTGGCAGATTTGGCTTCTTCTCAATTATTATATTTCAATATGGTGAATGACATAATAGAATTAATCAGAGGGTACTCGTGAAACATTTCATCTATATTAGAAAGGAGGAGAATTTTGGATGCTCTTACATAGGTAGGTTTTTCTAGAATAAGTGTGCTAAATGTTTATGCTAGTAGAAATCATAGTTTACCATGGTTTGATATAATATAATCTATTTCCAATACTGTACTTCTTAATGTAACCCATTTAAGAGACAATTCATGAGACATTTTGTAGTTAGAATGAATGTTGTCACCATTAATAGTTTTGCTCTATCTTCATGCAGCATACATTTGCACTGGGTAATGAAGATTTTTCATACATGTTATAACTTGCTATATTTCTATTAGTGTGTACTTCCTTGATGAGTCTTGCTTTCAAAGATCAATTCATAATGTAAATTGGTTATTCCAAATTCATTCAAATTAGTTAGTATTTCTTTAAAAGTTCTCAAACAACACATCCATCAAAATTTGACAAAATTCTATTTCTTTTCTTATAAAGACAATTTCTATTTTAATACTTTCATTAAGATTTTGGAAAGAATAAATGGTAGTTTGTAAAATGTACAAGTCTCAAATGGTTAAATCCATTTTCTGCAAAGTATTAAAGCTTATTTGTGTGTGTAAGCCAAAGAAGAATATTTTAGGTCAAATTTCTACTTACCCAATCGATTTTATCCACATTCCAATATTTTTTTAAATCTCGGAACTGTATTAACATTCCCTTCAATCCCACAACAATAATGCTTGCAAGAACACACTTGAAATAAAAAAATAAGTTGATGAAAAAGCAAGATAAATATTTTAATTTAAATTTAAAAGGACCAATATATTTTTATTTCTTTGTTTTTAAAGTGCTTAATAGACAAAAGCAATCATCAATTAGAAGGCTAAAGTTTTGTTTAAAGTTAACCTATTACTGTACTTTTAAAATATATGTATATATATAAATTTACAAAGTAACATTTGTACAAATTGTATAAAGCAAGAAATAAAAGAAAAAAGAAAATGTGAATTATAAGAATGAATGTCATAAAGCTGAATGTCTTCTTAACTACAATTATTCACTGTCATTGTTTGAAATGTGTTGGTTTAAAAAAGCATGCATATCATATATATCATATTGTCTTAAATAGCAAATATCTGGCTTCACCTGAAGATATTTATAACTTTCTTGAAAAGTGAACTTGATTATTGAAAGATCCTCCTGTGGAAATTATTTATTCTCACTACACAAATAAAGAATTAGAATAACAAAGGAGGGCAAGGTAAACTACTCGTACTAACATCTCGAACCACTTTGTGCAAAGGATGCATCAAGCGTAGGAATGTGTATTTGTTCCCTACTTACTTTCCCCAGCACATATTTTCTACTCATTGAAGTTCTGGTAAAAATAATTCCAAAGTCTACTTCTTATAAAAGCATATGCCTAGTTCCATTCTCCAGATGAGTACAGAATGAATCTCATTCCACAATGCCACTCTCATGTGAAAGCCTCAGAAGTAGAAAATAGCCATGGTGCCCTTCCAAGCCTCCCTCATCAAAAGGTAGCTTTCCACTCTTCCCCTCCCCTTCCACCTTTACATGTGTAACATGGTTTTCAGATTTAGAACTATCGAGGTTCTACTTCTAAGAAATGATATATACAGTGATACTTGTGAAAAAGTAAGTTTAAAAAGTAAATAGTTTAAAAGCACTACTGTACCATGGGCAGCCAGTAAAGCAAAGGTCCTATTGCATAGATGACTATAAGGACGAAAATGCAAGATATTAGACAGGCCACCTGTAAAATACAAGACAGAAAAAAAAAGCCTTGAACATTTTATTATTCCAAAGTTATGGGGGTGGGGGAATAATTCTTAGTTCATCTTGATTAGATGAAACAAAATATTGGCACATAACTGTTAAATTGCTTAGACTGTCATTATCTATATTTTGCAGCTGAGGGAAGCCAAATGTGACAGCTGACAAACTGGTGCAATCAAATTAAGTCAGTGATGAGAGAAAAGCAATTCCACACAAAGAAATAGGACACCATCAACTTTTATCACACATCACAGCAATGGCTTTTTTTTTTATTTAATAGTGAAAGTGGCATTTCAATTAAAAGTTCTTTAGCCTGTGGTTGTTTAGCCTGCCTCGCCTCCTTACTTTATAAGGGACTGTTTGAGTAATAACTTAATATGCAGTTTAGGATTTTTCTGTGCTGATGATAAATTTCCATCAAAACGCTCTCTTCTTTAGAGTTCTTTGTTAATAAGGGCTCTGGTTAGGAAGTGGTTATATGGGATATGGGAGCAATCTCTGGCAGTGGAACAGACTTAATTTTACTAATCCTGAAAAGTCATTAGTATCATGTTCAATCTAACCAGCTCAGCCTGTTAACAAAAGGCAATTCAAAACACCTGACTCCTACAGCGATGTTGCACTTGATGGAAAACCTGATTCAACATACGCAAATGTTCATGTTAACAAAAACATGTGATCAAGCTATCATCCCAACAAGAGAAAAGAGGGCTTTCACAAGATCACAAAAGAGCCTAGAACATCATTATGGAGATATCGAAGGGAATCTGGACCTAGTCGAATGACTTAAATTACAAATAAATACATAAACAAATAATAAATATCAAAGGCTGGCGAGGACTCAGAGCGACTGGAGTTTTTGGGTGCTGCTAGTGAGAATGCAATATGATATAGTCACTTAGAAAACAATTTTGCAGTTTCTTACGAAGTTACACATATACTTACCATATGAGCCAAGGCTGCCTAAGAGAAATGAAATTATATGGCCAATGAAAATATGTAAATAGTTACTGAAGCTCTATTCATAAACACCAAAATCTGTAAATCCCTGAAATGTTCACCAATTGATGAATATATAAGTTATGGCATATCTATACAATAAAATATCATTTTAAAAATGGATGAAATTCAAAATTATAAAACTAGTGAAAGAAGGTAGACTCAAAAGGATATATATATATGAGATTCTGAAAACAAAATAAATCATAGGATCTCGGGGATTCAAGGTGGTAGGAATATTCTATATCTCTATTGTGCTTATGGTTATACAATAATATACTTTTCCAAATAAAGTGAATTTACACTTTTAAAGGATAAATTTTATCATATCTAAACTATACCTCCATAAACACGATTTTTAGAAGAAGAAATTGGAGAAGGAATCTGCAGTTGTTGCTAACATGCACGTATACACACCCAGGGTCGGTCCAGGGTTGGCACTTATCCTGAAGCTGGTACTATTAGAAGGTACATGTGTGGAAAGGGATAGTAGAGTGGGACTAGCTATAATTATTCAACTAAGCAAGCAATCATTCAAACAGACACAAGAACAGATCTTTCCTCATTGACTGAGACTGAGGGCACCTGTTTTCCCATCCACATTTTTTTTTTTTGAAAGCAGGATTTATTGAAAGGACAGAAGAGCTCCCATAGTGGAAGGAGGCCCAAAGAGGTTGCCTCCTGTCCACATTTTGTGAAACTCATCACCAGCACACTGCAGCATATAAAGGGGAAAAATAATTCTTATGTGTAAAATAAATCATTAGGGAACTAATAATTGCCCATGAAAGAAGTTATAGTACACCAAATTGTCACTCTACTGATCACTTAAGAGCAAGTGGTGATTTTACACAAGAATGTTTTAAACAATAAAATATGATGCCTCTCATCCGCTTTAAGAGAGTCTTTAAACACGTTTGCCCATTTCATGAGTGATTTACGAGTGCACCTGCCCACACCATGCTGAGTGTTCAGCAGTTTTTGATCAAAAACAGCACGACTCCTATGCTCCAACCTCCCATATTCACCCGATCTCACGCTGAGTGACTTTTGTTGTTTCCCTGGATGAAAAATTTCCTCGAAGGGAAACGTTCTGCTGATGTGGAAGTGGTGAAACAAGAAATAACAGAAGCACTAAAAGGTATCAAAATTGACGAGCTCCAAAAGAGTTTTGAGCACTGGAAAAAGCATCTTGATAGGTGAATTGCATCAAATGGAAAATAATTTGAATGTGAATGAAGTTTAAACATGTAGAAGTAAATACACTATTTTTAATAAATAAATTCCAGGTTCTTTTGGTCCTTCCTCATATGTCAACAAGAATTCACTCACTGATCTACAATTTTAGTCTTGTAGTCAAAGTAAGACAAGAGTTAAATGGATTTTATTTAGCAAAAGATGACAAACTATGAGTGAAAAGACTGTTTACCTTAGATGTTAAGCCATACAATGAAATAGACCACATAAGTAAATGGCTATGTTCACTCTCTTAGTGTACTTGCCTTATCGATGTTGATGCCCTAGATCAAAAGACAAGAGCAGCTAATTTGAAAAGAAACCCTTACCAGTTCTGCCCAGTGTATCTACTCCTCAGTGTATCTCCTCCCCAGTCATGGAAATCAGTAATATAATAATGCCTGCCCTCAAAGGTCTCAAAATACCTATATTAATTCTCTCCATCAATAACAGTTTCAGATACCTAAAGTTTGGATTTGTAAAAAATTTTTGAGATCATGCAATCCAAATTGTCGTTCCTTAATTGCCAATTCAGTAATTTCAAAAAGAGCTCAAATGAAGACCAGACATTTGCAGTGCTATGTAATAGACTTCTCTAACTTCAGGTCTCTGTAATAACCCACTTGAGCTATATTTTCAAGTATCATCTACTTTTTTTCATAGCTATTACTTTGCATATGAGGCAATTCTTAACAAAATGTAAGTAGCTCCTTCTTAATAAACTTTAGGTTGGCTTATGGTGTAATTAGTAGAGAAAAGTGTTCACATCCTTAATAATCCATATGACAAACATATAGGACTTTACTCTTCAACTCTTTCCATGTCATACTAACTAAATTTCTAAAGATTTTTTTTTTCTTTAAAATCATTACTGCTACTGTTTAGGAGTTAATTCTGCACAAAAGATATGCATTTTTTTCTTCTTACATCCTCAAACAAATATTATATATGTTGTATATTACTTACATAGATGACTATTCGGGCATTAAGGTTATCCTTACATATATGTTTGATCGGAGGCCAAGTGAGCTGCCAGGCATTTCCTTCCTAAGTAGTTGTCAAAGAATGCAAAGCAGGTCAGGAGCTCACTTCATACACAGTTTTGTGGAAAGGTAAAAGAGATGGGAAAAGGCAGAAAAAGAGAAAAAGAGAGAGAGAATATTGGGTAAGGCTAGATTTAAAAGGCTTTAAAGAAAATGAAAGCAATGAGCCAAATTTGAAGGAGTAAAGGAATACAGTTTGGCAAATTAGAACCTGAAGACAACCTAAGTGGTGCAGAAAAACATGCCAGCTGTTGTTTTCATTTGTGGCTGAGCGCATGTGCAGCAGCCATGGTCTCTCATCCCTCCTGGTTACACTTTCTGAATTCCCTGAAGAGTACCAGTGTATCTCTTCCGTTGGAAGTGAAGCATGCAGGGGAGAGAGCCAGGGGATACTGAGCTCCCTCCCTGACTTAACATTCTTTACAGGGAAGGAGAAAAAGCAAGGGGTGTAACATTGAGAGTATTTGTCTAAGCAGTGCCAACTTTCTTACTCTCCTAGAGGCCTTTCTTAGATACATAAGTGTTGGATGTCACATCTAAAGAAAATCACTGTAAAAAGGGTCTCTACATGCATAGGCTAGAAACATATGTCTCAGCCTTTGACCATGGCATTTGGTTTTAAATGATCAGTATCTTTTACTATTCCAATTTAAACATTTTTATTTTATTTTCTAGAGCACTGAAAGGCTTTTATATAAACTCATTTGTATGCAAAATAGTGTATGTAAAATTCACTGTCCAATGCGGCCACATGTGGCCTTGAGCACTTGAAATGTAGTCAGTCAATATTAAGATATGCTGCAAATATAAAATACACACCCGATTTTCAAGCCTTAGTACAAAAAAAGAATGTAATATTATTGTAATTAATTTTAAAATGGCATCAATGTTGAAATGATCATATTTTGACCCCTTGGAAAATTAAAATAGATTTTAAAATTAATTTTATCAATTTCTTTTACTTTTTAAAATACGGCTACTGGAATATTTAAGTTACCTGTGTTACTCACATTATGTTTCCACTGAATAGTGATTTTCTATAATGTATGACTTCATACTTGGTTTTAAGTGGGATTTTCTATAAATGTACTATAATTTTTAATGTACTATATTAAGTGACAATAAAAGCTATCTGGTCTGACCAGTCCCTTCTAATGTCAGCAAACTAGTAGTTTAAAAAAAAAATTATTGGGTACTTTCATTTGTCATTTATTTTGTCCGTAGTAGTTATTTAACACCAACCACATACCAGGTTCTGGGTTAGACACTGAGGATACAGTGCCCCAAAGTAGACAAGGGCCCATGTTCCCCAGTAGCTTTCAGTCAAGGGTAGAAGGCTGACATTAGTCATATAATCACACTAAAGAATGCTTAATGTCAAAAGGCACTAAGGTCACTGAAGAAAAGGAACACAGTTGATCCAGAAGTGGCAGTGAGAAATGAAGGATAGAAGGCATTCACTTAAAGGGGAGGGGGGAGGCAGCAACAAAGACAAAGAGAACAGACAAGGGAGCCCACAAGGGGTCAAGAAGGTCTAGGGAACTGGAGAGCTAAGAATGAGGTGGAGAACAGGCCAAGATGAGGCTGTACCTGGAAGCACTGGGAGTCTGGTAGGCAAAAGAAAGGTCTGAACTCTAAGGCCTATGTAAAGCCTTTTATGGGTTTTAAGAAAAATTGACATGACCATATTTGCATTTTAGAAAGATAACATTCAAAAAATACTGTAGTACAGTCTTTCTACAGAAACATTACCAATGTTTCTGGATAAAAGTCAGTTGGTAAATTCATTAAGAAATGTAAGATGGTTATCACTGGTTCTTTGATTGGTGGTCATTAGCTTAAAAGTTAAAGCACTTATGTCTTCTAAGTTAATTGACTGGATATAAATCTAGTCCATAAGAGAGAGCCATTTAAGGGGTTGTTTTGTGAAGTGATGTCACATAGAAAACTGCTCTCATAAATAGCCTATTTAGAACAAAACTTTTAAGACTTGGCTTGCCTAGCACTTTCTCCAAACCATGTCAGTTATCAGTTATACCCACATAAACTTCACACTCGTAGTGTTAAAGGTCTGAAATGACTACCATGGGAAAGTATCCTCTATTGGGATATGCACATTTAGTCAGATTCTTTCCCTGTGCAATTTAATGGGAATTGTTTAAAAGATTAGCAACCAATTCAACAAACAGAGCAGAACAGCATGAAAATATTCTGCTACTGAGCATTGTTTTCCTGAACTGTTGTTTTGTTAGGCTTCTTTCATTTCATTTAAAGTTAGATCAATACAATACCATGCATAAAAAAACCTTGATTTAATATAAAGTTCTTTAAAAAGTTCTGTTGTTCTAATCATTCAAATGTGTGACCTCCAAAACAGAGATGAGAAGGGGCATCCCTCTCTTCCAACCATATTAATCAAACAAATGTATGCCCAACTTGAACCAAAAAAAATTCTCCAATTTAAAAATAAGTACAAGTTTTCTCAATTATTCTCTTTCGAATCATATGGTTTCATTGTGACTAAAGTCATAATTTTAAAAGTAGGCAAATGCCTAAGGAAATCCCAGATATGGAACTCATTCAAGGAAGAAACACCTCAGGGCTTCTGTCTCAACCTTCTCTGTCTATGTGACAAATGAAGATGCTGATTTGCTCAAGATCCTGTAGCAAATCCAAGGAGACAACTTGAGCTAGAAAACTGTCTTGGTGCATCCCCAGTAAGTCAGGATGCTTTAACATTAAATGTTAAACAAAAGGTTTTGCACATAATTTATTATTTTAAAAATAATTAATAGTAATGAAATCAATGATAATTGCTAACATTTGAACAGCACTTATTTGATGGTCAAGCATTGTGCTACATAAGCATCATTAACTCCTTTCATATTCATAATAATTCTACTTTAACAGCCAAGTAAGTTAGAGAGTTAAGTTACTTGTGCAAAATCACCCAGCCATGAGTGATGAAGCCAGGGACCAGACCCAGGCTCTGGAACCCACACCCTGAACCACTCAATATGGTTATTGAGCCTGAACATGAAGAAAGAAACCTAATGCATTCACTCTGATGAGAAACCAGGTGGAAGCTACTAGAGTATTCTAGAATTTTGAAGATAGAAGAGTCCTCAGAGTAAGGGATGATATTTAGGTATACTACATATTAAACATTCAAATCTATATTACAAACATTTGAGAGTATAGTTTGCAAAAATATTTATGCCAGTACACAGGATATACCTACACTTGAAATCGCTGGCTGGTAAAATTCAGTAAAATTACTTGTGTCACATAAACCAAAGTTAAGTAAGAATTTTACTTCTTAGCTGATGAGTTGTGGAAATTATTTGCTAAATTATAATATATTCAGAATTGTTATTTTCCTTCTACACCATGGTACATTGATATTATTTGTTAGCTTCATGCTATATTTTGATACTTGTTAAACCATCTTTTTCTGGCCACTTGCCACCAAGGTCAAGAACTACATACTTTTCAAAATTCATTCTTCTATAACCTAAAAACAGTATTTAATATAGGGGAGACTTTTAATAAATGTTTGAATTAGCATATATAATGCTTTATAAACTCTTATTCAATCAACATAAATTGTTTTAATAATGATTACTTGTTAATGTTAATTTTTATATTAAGATACATATTAATTTTCTCATATAAATCTGTGGTTAAGAGTGCAAGATTTGCAATACGTCTCTCTGGGCTCTATTCCCAACTCTGCTATCTTTTTCTCAACTTTATTATGCAAAAACTGAGGATGATGATTATATTTCCTTCGCAAGGTTACCTAAAGTATTAAACAAGTTCATTTATATAAAAAGCATGACACACAATCCCTGCCACACACTCAATATCTTCTCCACCAACACCACCCCCATCATCATCATCAACAGCTACATCTTTATCATCATCATCATCATCATCATCTTACCAGTACTAGGCAAAATGCCTGGTATATCATAGGCTCTCAATATATATTGAATTGATTTGAGTTTCTAAAAAATATGTGTTTCTTTAAACTAAAATGTGCACAGACACTTTATTACTCAATAAATCACTTGTATGTCTCTATAGACAGGAATTTTAGTGTTAATTATTAATTTAGCCTATAATTGGTTTATTTTATTTAAAGGAAATGAATAAAAAATGGGAAAATATTGACTAGATTGGCAAAAAAATCACACACACACACACACACACACACACACACACACACACACACACACACACACACACACACCCACTAGAGGGAGCTCTAATTTCAATGGTTGCAAAACATAAAGCGGCCATTTGTCCAGAATTTCTTCGTTCCTTCATTTCATCTTTTGGAAGGATCACTCATAGGAAAGCTAAAGGAGATTTCTTTGAAACTACTTAGAGAACTGTGAAGCAATGAAGATATTTTCAGGACTTTTAAGAGAAGCTCCCTCCTCCCACTCTCCAAGAATGGGAGTGGAGGCCCAGCAGTTCCTTTGTCCTTGCTGAACTTGGATTACCTGTGTCTTTGCTCCCGTGCTGTACAGCCCTGCAGTCCTTCCCATGGCAGCAGCACTTGGTATGCAGAAGAAAAATGAAGAAATCACATTGCTGAGGCCATGGGCCAAAAATTCCTGCAAAATTCATAACAGGAGAATATATGACTTCTTAATCACAATTGACTTTGAGAGACCACAGGCACAATTTGTCAAATAATGAGGCTTTGTTTGCATTCAGTTTTAGTTCTCCCTACCGGTTGGAATTTGACAGTTATAATAAAAATAGCTACCATGTATTAGTTGATTACAATGAGCCAAGAATTGTTCTAAACACTTGATTCACCTCATAACAAACTTACAGGGAAATGCTATTTATTTATGCTCTCAGTTGCCAATATTTCCTCCATCTTTTAAGTCACTACAATCAGGCTTTTATTCCCACCATTCCACCGATGACTTTCACAATGATAAATCCAATGGTTCATTCTTAGCTTACCTGGCCTAAAAGAAGCATTTGACACAGTTTCTCACTTTTTCTTCCTTAAAGCCTCCTTCACTTGATCTCTAGTACCTCATACTTTCCTGATTTCATCCTATCTCTGTGGGTCACCACTTCTCAATTTCCTTTGTGGCTCCTACTCATCCACTCAACTGCAAATATTGAAAGATTATTTCTCTTGTCATCCTAGCTACCCAAATACATGTTGAGAACTACCAAATTTATATCTCTAGCTAAGACCACTCTACTGAACTTCAGACTATACAGAAACCAGCTACCCAGCATCTCCCTTTGGAAGGCTAACAGGTGTCCTCAATTTACTAAACTGGGCTACAGATCTCTACCATCCCACCTGGTTCTCCTACATTCTTCCCAAACTCAAGTTCCAGTGACTTAGACCAAAAGCTTTGGGTTCATTCTGGACTCCTCTGTTCCATCTTTTCCCAATTGGCATCCACATCCGGTTCCGAATCCATCCATCTCCTCCATCATTACATCCTGGTCCAAACCATCACATCTCACCTGAATATGGCAAAGCATCCTAGCCATTTGTTTTTGTTTTGTTTTATTTTGTTTGTTTGTTTGTTTGTTTTCTTGTTTTGCTTCTACTGTTACTAGTAATCTCAGAAAAACAGTCCTGCCCTCAGAGAGCTGTGGTTCTGGTGAGTGTATGCTGACAATAAACAAGATAAGTATAGAAAGAAATGCAGAGGAGGGCATGGGAAAATCTGGAGTTTAAGATTTTAGATGATCTGAGAAGGAAGTATTTGAATAAATGAGCTAAGCAGATATCTGGGATAACAGAACCCTGGAAAAGGGAACAGCAAGTGCAAATGTCCTGAGCCAGAAGCATATCCAGTGTGTTCAAGAAAAAGCAAGGTGGTATGGCTAGAACAGAATATAAAAGGGATATAAAGCTAGAAAGGAAAGGAATAGTGGCAGGTCATGTGGAACCTTGTAAGCCATGATAAAGAGGACTTTAACCTGAGTATGGTGGGAAGTTTCAAGTAAAAGAAAAATATGATCTGTGTTGTTCACTTTTGTATCCCTGTATCTAGGTCAGTGTCTGGTACATAGTGGGATTCAATACACATCTGTGGGATAAATAAATCTACATTTTTAAAGATGAGAAAAATGGGATGCAGAAAGAATTGCAGTTGCATAGTGTCAGAGTGAGATTTGTGCACAGGTAGTTCAACATTCATAACCACTACACTGCAGCTTCTCTGTAGACCAGCGCAGTTCCTAAGCGGCACAAGGGGGCTTGAAACAAGATACTGCCTGAAATGTATTCACAAATATAATTGACATAATCTGCATCCTTTTGTATTCTATAAATAGACACATCCTTTTTTTTTTTTTTTACCAAGAGTAAAAATGATAAATATATTTGGATTCTCTCTTAAAAATAAGTCAGAAATAATATCAAAGTTTCTTTCTTTTGAGTAGAAATAAAAGTATTATAACCCATCATAGTCAGATTTCCAGCTTTCAATGAATGAATGATTTAGAGATTTTTCTTTTGTTTTATTCTACCCATTCTTGCTTGACATTGAGAAAAGTTTTTATTTTCCCTAAGTTCAACAAGTTCAGGATCTGGGAGTATACAATACAATGGTACAATAGGAGTAGAGAAGGGCTGGGGGCACACTCCACCTGGTTGTCATCAACTGAATATTTAAATTTCTTGGCAGATCCTTGAGCAAGAGCCAGTGAGGCCACATAGCCTACAAGTGCCACTCCAAAAGCTTCAGTGATTACCGCAGAGAGAATGTTCATAGGGGGAGCTCTAGGTGGAGGAATTCTGTGGAAAGAAAGACCATATTGAAGCCATCAACCTACTTGTAATTTCTATAACAACTTGCAATCAATTCAACTGTGGTAATGACTCTGAAGTTTACATAGAATAAGTGAAATACCCATGAGAAAACCAAGCAGCCTTGCCCTTAGAAGCCCTTTGTTTTCAACATTATTTAGCAGAAAAGCAAAATTGCAAGGAACACCACAGGAGCAGCTCCATGTGTCTAGTTGGCATTTACAACCAGGGAATTCAGATTACACCACAGAAACTCTGACTCGACAAAAATTTCCTGTATCAGAACAAAAGCAAATCTGGAGCATTCTTTCATTTGAACCTTTCCAAATATTTATTTGGCTGGCACTGGAGATGGTATTTCCTCTCTCGAATACTACAGTGCTGTATGCAAACACTAGCTTACTGTGAACTACATTTCTTGAGTTAATCTTTAAATTTGCCATTGAGTTCATTATCTTAATTACATTTTTAACTCAGATCTTTTACAGTTCACTTAATAATGCCTTACATACATTTAAAAATGTATGTATAAAGATTCCATCTAACTTCTGTTGCAAAATATAGGATCTAGTTAACTGTTTCTCTGTTTCAAATAACTGTTTAAATAATACCAAGCCATTGTCTAATTTTCTTTTGAAAATCACTTGAGCCAATGTATCATTATTTATTAATCCCTGATGAGTCGTTTGAGGAGATGTACCAGAAAAAATTTAAAAATTAAAAATTAATAACCTCTTGGACAAGAAGAAAAAAACTGGAAGAGAATTCATGTTCATTTAATACCCAGTATATAAGTAAAATGTTAGACTCTTTCATATTAGCTATTTTATTTAATTCTCCCAACGACCCCCAAACTAAGTACCATTATGCCCACTGCATGGAGGAGAGAAAGGTTAAGTAACTTAGCTAAAGTCACAAGATGAATGGCAGAGCTGGGATTCAATCTCAGGTCTCAAAATCATGCTCTTTATAATTCCTTAAGAGTATAGGTCCGGAAAGGTCACTCAAAATAAAGGAGAATTAGTGGGGAGGGTGGAGAGGCATGATTTTTTTTTTCCCATTTACTAACGTTTACCCCCAAGACAAATTGATTTGTACTATTACAGGTCACAAGACATATGCCATATAAAACCATTAGCATTTCAAAGTATAAGAATATTTGTTTCATAAAAATTGAGCAGGCTTAATTATTAATAACAACATATGTACCTAGAAAGAAACAATAAACTAACTTTCAAAGGTAGAAAAACAGAGCATCCTTGAGAAAATTAAAGTTGAGTCAGATAATCACCATTAGCCTGTATCTACATAGGCTAGATGGAGAATTTTTAAAATTCTCTTTTTTTTTTTTTTTTTTTTTTTTGAGTTGGAGTCTCACTCCGTCACCCAGACTGGAGTGCAGTGGCCGCTCCCGGCCACCGCAGCCTCGACCTGCTGGGCTCCGGCGATCCTTCCGCCTCAGCCTTCCGAGTAGCCGGAATTACAGGCGTGCGCTACCACGCCCGGCTGATTTTTTGATTTATTGTAGAGATGAGGTCTTGCTGCCCAGGCGGGTCTCGAACCCGCGGGCTCAGGCAATCCACTCACCTCAGCCTCCCAAAGGCGCGGGATTACAGGCTGAGCCACCGAGCCCGGCTTAAAATTCTCTTTTTAATCCATGATAATTTTTCTACGATTCCTCCATTTTCATGTAGTTGGAAACCAAAATTTGAGACTGGAGGGTAAAAATGTGGAGGACCTAACGATTATAACTTTGCCCCAAATTTGTAAATATTGAGGCATATACAGCACATAAAAAAGGAATAATCCACAATACTCCCCCCTTTCCTAATATGCTTTTATTTTCTTTCAGCCTATATTTGGTACAACCTTTTGCTCTTTTAGAGTAAGCACCTCTTCTTTTTGTTAAACTTCCTCTTAATATTCAGAAGAAGTCTATAAGTCAGGTAGGGAACCACACTTTGTTCTTCACTTCTACACTCTGCTATTATACACTACCCAGACCTAGGTTTGCTATTTCAGATGATGCTTGTCCTCCTTTACTGTGATCTAAGTGAAATAAAAATAGTCATAAGAATATGTGGAGGTAGAGGAACAGGGCAGGCTAAATTCCAGAACATAACTCTAATTTGCAAAGTCATTGTTCTCTATTTTTTAAATAACATCTTTGTAAATATTTTAGTTTTTACCTGAAGCAATACTGTATAAACAATCATCAACATCTTTACAATAGATGAATAATCTAGGAAATTTCTTTCTATTTTTATGTAGTATTTGTTTCTATCATTTTATAATAAACAATGAATTAGAATTCTGTCCTGTACAGAGACAAAAAGAAGTAAAATCCACACCCATACATCCCCAGTCCCCTCTCCCATTAAAAACAAACAAACAAACAAAAACAAATAATACTTTAAAAAAGACTACGTTACCCTTTTGGAATATGACCAACTACTTCTAATCCATATGTGTTTTCCATATTGGTACAATAGCAAGCAAATGATGCAGCAATAATCTGTGTGGTTTAATTTGAAAAAAAGAAAAAATACATTACTGGCCTCTCAAACACCTTAAAACCATTTTTTAAAGTAAATATTATTCTTGTGTCTCATACTTGCCAAGTGTAATGTAGTAATTGCACATATTTTTTAAAACAAAATATTTAAAGTCAAAAATTCTCTGTGAGTTTTGAAAGCACTTACAGCCTCAAATTAGATGACATCCCAATAACATGACTCTTCTGATGTCCTACCCTTTGTCAGTTATGGCCAATTTTAAAGGAGAGCAAAATATAGAAGATTAGAGAGAGAGAGAGAGAGAGAGAGAGAGAGAGAGAGAGAGAGAGAGAGAGAGTGTGTGTGTGTGTGTGTGTGTGTACAGACAGCACAATCCAACCTAGATACTTGTTTCTCATGATATGAAGGATGCTTTGTAAGACAGCACATTTTCTCTCTCTCTCAAAAGTTTAAGATATTGCATTAGTGTTTCTAATTTATGCTAGAAAACAATGATGATCACCTCTCCTTGATTATTTTTAAAATATTGAGCTTTTTTAACTTCTTGTAGTAAAACAATCTACATCACAGCCTGTTGGGCTCAATGCTTTTAAAATGATCCCTGTGGAGTTTCAGATACCCTATCCTTCTGTTACTGACATATGCTAAGCAAGGTCACAAGTTCCCTGCCTATACCTATAATCATCTTTAAATTTCACATCAGTCCTCAGTTCACCTTTTGTTTCACCGGCCATTTATTTTCAAATGTTTTCCATTCATTTTAATTCTTCTATAATTTTAATAGATAAATGGAAATTTCACATGATTATGATTATCAGTTTGGAATGATTTATCTCGTCAAGACTATACCAAGCCGGGCTCGGTGGCTCAGCCTGTAATCCCGCACCTTCAGGAGGCTGAGGTGAGTGGATTGCCTGAGCCCGCAGGTTCGAGACCCGCCCGGGCAGGCGAGACCTCATCTCTACAATAAATAAAAAAAAAAAAATTAGCCGGGCGTAGTAGCATGCGCCTGTAGTTCCAGCTACTTGGAAGGCTGAGGCGGAAGGATCGCCAGAGCCCAGCAGGTCGAGGCTGCGGTGGCTGGGAGCGGCCACTGCACTCCAGTCTGGGCGACAGTGAGACTCCAACTCAAAAAAAAAAAAAAAGACTATGCCAATTAGTTAATTAAAGTACAAATTTGCAATATACATGGCCAGAAAAAAAATAACAAATTCACTCTAGCAAAATAAGCAATATCTAAAAATCAATGCTCAATAATATTATTTTGTAGGTTTGTTCCTATATGTGTTTTCTGTTCTCTGTGATGTTATTTAACTGAATTTGTGGAAGTTTATAAAACATCAAATGGGCTTAAAAAGGAAAACATCCTCGAAGATTAAAAAACGAGAAAAGCAACAAAACTGTATTGTTTTGTTATATTGTGAAACTGTATAAATATGATATAATACTAGTTTTTAAAAATAAAAATAGTACTGGCTAAAGATTCAGGCTATTAGATTAGAATAAAGAATATAAACAATCATTCCTAAACCAATTCATAAATTTTAATTGTTCATAATCATCATGTAATGTGTATACCAGATCAGAAAATACCATGAGCTGTAAAGAAAATAAATGATAGTTACTAGGTACTGGATCCTTACTGAAAATCAAATAATACATTATGACACATAACTTAAGTCCCAAATCACTGAGTCTTTTCAACAGTGTCTTACTTTCTCACTGTATTTCTTTTACATAATTAAACTTCCTTTATCAATTGAGTCATTGGTCCTCCAATATTAATTCAGTATTTTCAATATAAGGCCAGCACTGTCCTTAGACCTTAGCAAGAGAAGGTCTTGCCCCAGGTGGCTCCAGTGCCTTATAGGGTTCTAATTTGGCCCTCTGCCAACTATAGCCTTTCCCACAAGAGGGGAGCTTTGTGGGGGTAGGGGGCTTGTGCCCAATTCAAACTTGTACCCTCTTTCTGAACTATACTCTGGAACCTATAGTTTCTGCCCATATGGCTCCAAGACTTCTTGCAGGGCATCTCTTCCAGGTCCATCATCCCACGATGACCTAAGGAGGGACAAGGGACAGTCGTGGAAGTGACGGAGTGGGGAGGTGTTTGTAGTTTGGACATTGGGGCAGGGGTATCCACACGTATACATATGAATCCCCTTATGGGTGGGGTGGGGCTGGAGGGGGAAGAAAAGAAAAATGCTGAGATGCTGGCTTTTTCCATGCTGCCCCATTCTGCTAGAACTCAAAGTACTCAGAACATTCTCTGTTCTAACCTGGCTTTCAAGGTCATCAGTGAGGGATATTAGTCAGGTAGGAAAACAGAACCTGTTGTATAACATTTAAGTATTTGGGCTTGCATTGGTTCTTTTGCTCTGGGTCATATAAATGTTAAAGGTAATACTGTATAAGGAATATCTTTTATTTTATTATAAGAATACTTCTTACTAGTTTTACAGGTAATAAGCAACTTCTTTATTACTAACTCAAGGACCTCACTCCCTAAGGTTATTTTCAATTTTTTATTTTATGAAATGTATGTAATATAGCTTCTCAAGATATAATAAGAATTTCTTAATATCTACAGGACTTTGAGATAAGATGATATTCTTCACAGTTATTTCTGTGAGACTAATAATCATAGCACCTGTCTGTTCTTTCATGGCTTATTTGAAAAAAAAAAAAATATATATATATATATATACATATATATAAAAATTATCAAGAGTGTAGAATCATACATAGCCTAGCTATAGGAGAGAAGTCTTCCATTTTAGTTGTGTAGAAATGAGTCATATCCTTCAGAGACAGTTTTCAATACACTAGCCTAATAAATGTACATAAATTTATACCATGTTAACAGTATGAAGGAATATTTCAATAGATTAAGTTTTTAGACACCATTTGTAATAATCATGTATAACCAAAAGATAGTGAAAAAAGCCAATTAATGATAAATGATAACTAGAGCCAATTAATGATAAATAAGTTAGTAAACTGTAGTTATGCTAACATTTCAATATAATGCTTTATTTAGTTAAGAGTTTCCATTAGAGGCTCTTAAAATTTCAAAATATATCTTTTTTTAATTTCACAAGCCTTAGGAGCAAAATATAATGTATTGTGTTTTTAGGTATAACAAAAAAATATCTTAGAGAACCAACCTTGGCCAACCTTTTGCTTTATTGAAAACCAGACTTTTGCTTTATTGAAAGAATGCTCATGATTTTCATAAGCATTCTTTCAATAAAGTAAAATTACATCAGTAACAAAACTATCAGTAAACCAACCAATTACTAATGGACATTTGTCAATTGATAATATTTCTGTGCATATCATATAGGTATAGCAATAAAATGTAACATCACATTTTATTGCTTTCCAGAGGATGATGCCAGAGATCTTTTGAATCTCACCTTTGGAAATGTCTTCTTACTTAAGATCCGAGGCTATATGTCCTCTCATTTATATTAAAAATTATAAACATATGAGAAATGTTGTATAAATTGAAAACATATGTGCCACCTTTTTAAAATTACTGACTCAAAATGTTCCCTGTTCTTACATTAATGTATAGCCACGCAAATTAGTCCTACTTTAATGAGAGACAGGAGTAGTTGGGAGTTACTGTAGACAATGTAGTAAGCATCTGCAGATCACCCCAACAACTGGCAAACTTTGCATGGCAGAAAGCTAAATGTTGATTTCATACTTACCAAAACTAAATCGACAGGAAGAACAACTTTAATTCTCCTTTTAAACTGTTCATTCAGCTCTTTAACCAGAACAAGGACCACGATACTCAACAAGGATAAAAGTAATGCTTCCAGTTGGACAGACTTGATATTTTCAAAAACATATGCATAAATCTACAGTAATGAGAAAAAATACAAACAAAATTCAGGGTCACCCATAATACACCACCATGAAAATCTAGCTCCAGATAAAGTCAGTGAAGTTTTATTAAAATATTTTAATGGCTAGGGAGTGGAAAGGCAGAGGTAGGAGGATGTCAGTGCTGATGTACAGCAAGCTGCATATCTATTCTCATGTACAAAATTGCTGTGCCTTTGATTCTTCCATCAAACTCAGGGTTTTCACCCTCCTATGTAAGAACATTGTTTAAAGAGAATAACTCTTCTGGTTCCTTTCCTGAATCTTCAAGAGATGTTATAACACATTAGTTATGTGAAGACTTATCATTAAGAGCAGAAGGGAGTCCATAGTCTCCCCAACTTTGGTCCTCAATACTCTTCCGCAAATCCCAGAAGCAAACAAGCATACATATAAGCCATGAACTAATAAATTAAAAACTGGTATTTAACTGACATCAGATATTTGGCTTATTGTAAAAATAGTACCATGTTCTCAGTCATTCAGTATTTACTTATTTGTTTTTTGCCACATAGTTTATACCAAGCACCATAGCCAGTACTAGGGCTACATGGTCAACAATTTAGATATAGCTTCAGTATTCACAGAGCTTTCAGTCTAGTATAGGAATTGCCAATTAAAGCAATAAACTAGTGAATACAGTGCCATGGACATGAAAAGGGCACCTGAAGTGTATGACTTAGAATTGTGAATAGTTGTGGGGACCCTTTTCTGAGATAAACAGGAATTGGCCAGTTTATGAACAGTAGAGAAGGTAAGGGGAACGAGTCTGGAGGGGAAATGTTCTGCCTACAGAGCACATTTGTAAAATATAGAGCACAGAATGTCAGAGGAGTATATGACTTCCTGAAAAGTATGGTCAAGAAACCAATACCATTATTTGTCTTCAAAATTAAGCAGGCCTGTTTGAAATTATAACAACATCAAAGAATGTACTTGAAACTAGGAAGAAGGTTAGGATAATCTGACGTGGCAGAAAAGGTAGAATAAATGTAAGAGAAATGTCAAGGAACATAATAATACAAAGCCCTTTCTAAAATAGAAAGCTTATGTTTATTAAACTAAATGCCAATAACACTTTGCTCAACAACTTAAGATCTTGTTGACTGTAATATAAGCATCTGAACTACTAGCATAAAAAAGATAAAGTGAGATTTTATTTTTTTTTTATTTTTTATTTTTTTGAGTTGGAGTCTCACTATGTCGCCCAGACTGGAGTGCAGTGGCCGCTCCAGGTCACCGCAGCCTCGCCTGCTGGGCTCAGGCGATCCTTCCGCCTCAGCCTTCCGAGTAGCCGGAATTACAGGCATGCACTACCACGCCCAGCTGATTTTTTGATTTATTGTAGAGATGAGGTCTCGTTGCCCAGGCGGGTCTCGAACCCGCGGGCTCAGGCAATCCACCCACCTCAGCCTCCCAAAGGCGAGGGATTACAGGCTGAGCCACCGAGCCCGGCTAAAGTGAGATTTTAAAGAACCCTAACCTGAGTGCTAAAATGGAAAATAATAATTATCCTAAAAGCCAATCCTCATTCTACATTAATGTTTGATATAAAGACACCCAAATAGAATTTTGTTGTCTGGAAAAATTTTACACAATGATTTTCAAATTTGTATACAATAATAAATGCACAGAATACGTAAGAAAATTTTGAAAGAGAAAAATATGTATGGGTTTGTACTACTAAACATAAGTATATATATTTAGAACAAGTTAAAACATGATATGAGCATTAAAATATATAAGAAAAACCCAGAAACACATAAAAGTTGCATTATAGGAAAGAGTATTCAATATATTATGTTTGAAGCAAAACTAAGCAAGATAAAATAAAATCTAGATTAAAAATAGTTAATTATAAAACCCAATGTCATAGAAAATAAAGACATTTTAAAATGAGTAGAAGACATAAACAAAATAAATGCAAATAGTCAAGAAGTATAAACAAAGAGTTGGACCACACTAGTGGTCAAAGAAATGCAAATACAAACAATAATAATAAAGCATTTTTCTTTTATCAAATCAATAGTGGTCTTTAAATTAAAATTAATGACTTAAATTGTATAATTTAGGAGAATAAATAAAAACATGTACTTATGTGTATAAGTTGGTACAATCTTTTAGTGATATGATAGAATGTTTGAAGGCAATAAATATGTTAATTTGCTTGATTGTGGTAATTATTTAAAATGTATAGATATAGCAAAACATTATGCCGCATATCTTTAAATATAAAATTTTATTTGTCAGTTATATCTCAACAAAGCTGAAAAAATAAAATAAAAACCTTTGAAATATTCTATTCTTTGACTCAGCAGCTCTAAGACATTAAGCTATGAACATAATTAGGCTCATGTGAAAAGGCCTTATTACAAAGATATTCACTGAAGCATTGTCTAGCACAAAAGAAATTGAAACCATTTTAAAGAGTAAAACAAAAGAGAATGGGTTGAATTCACTAGGTTATATGCACACATATAATAGTCTACATTCATTAAACAAATTATTTTAGACAAAACATGTAATATATTTATTGACATGGAATTGCCTTCCTGTTATGATGCTAAATGGGAAAAGCAAGTTTCAAATAAATATGTATGGTTTGATATTGTTATTGGCTGAATTGTGCCCCACCCCTCCAATCGTACATTTACATCCTAATCCCCAGTGACTGCATTTGGAGACTGGATCTTTAAAGAGATAATTAAGGTAAATGAGGTCAGATGAATGGACCCTAATCCAGTATGACTGGTGTTCTCATAAGAAAAGATTAGAACACAGACATGTACTATGCACAGAAGACAAACTATGTGGGAATCCAGGGAGAAGGCTGCCATCCAGCAGCCAAGGAGAGAGGCCTCAGAAGAAACCAAACCCGCCAACGCCTTGATCCTGGACTGTGAGAAATACATTTCTGTTGTTTAAGTCACCCAGTCTGTAGTTATGGTTATGAAAGCCCTAGCTTTCTATGGATATATAGGATGAATACTAGCATCACCATGCCACAGGAAGGACAGTAAAAAAAAAATGGCAGAAGCATGGTTGAGCAAAGGTCATATTTCATATTACTACTGTAATTCAGTTCAACTTCAAAAGGTAATACACAGATAACATGGCTTAAAATATGTGTACTTTTTGATACCGCTGTCTTTGGAATGTTTATAGCTGCGCATAAAAGATTATCAGTATTTTCCATGTTTTCTCTTATGAAGATATATCACTCAGGTGTTTTAAAGGTTTTAAGTAGGTCTTAAATGCTTATTTTCAACATGTCTTTTAACTTCTCTTTGACATGCTGAATCTGGTGTTTATAGCTTAAATTCTATTTGTCTATAGCAGATCTCTCAAGTCTAGTTTTAGGGGATGACGACTAGTTTTTTGTCTGTTTATTTCACTTTTTTAGCACAAAAATTATTCTTAGAGTAGCCCAACTTGGTGGTGTTCTTTGTCCTCTTTATTCAGTATCTCAAATATAATTTTACCACAATCTCAAATATGAGGTCAAAATATTACATGAATTATGAGTCAAAAGAACCTATATGAACTGTATTCATTAGAATCCCTTAACATTCTGCTTAGTAGTGTCTTCATCAAAGGACTCAGCCCATCTGGCCCCAGGATCAGGAACATGCCTGGTGTAAAGTAAGTATAATCAAGCTGAATCTGAATGCTGTATATTGAATATTATCATTACCAATCTAATTCTTTTTTTCTTTCTTTCCTTTTTTACCCCCTTTAAGTCAGGGGTCTCACTCTGTCACCCAGGTTGGAATGCAGTGGCATGATCAAGGGTCACCATAATCTCAAAATCTTGGGCTCAGGAAATCCTTCTGCCTCAGCTTCCAGAACAACTGGGGTTACAGGTAGACACCATCAAGCCCAGCTAATTTTTGTTGTTGTTGTTAGAGACAGGGTCTCACTATGTTGCCCTTACTGGTCTCAAACTCCTGGGCTTAAGCAATTCTCCTGTCTCAACCTCCCAAAGTCCTAGGATTATGATGTATACTACTACCCCCAGCCTCAATCTTAACTCTTTCAAAAAATGTACTCGGGTTAAAGAAAGTCTCACTGGGTGAAAGAATCAGGATAAGGTAGGTTATCCAGATATCCCCTTTGTCCATACAGTTAAAACAACAACAACAAAACTCATTAACCATGTAATCAGATACATTAAGAGATAAATTAGAGATCAGATAGTTTTACTTATTATCTTTTTCACAGTATTCTATTTTATTCCATTATTTCACAGCATTCCATTATTCCATTATTCTACTTAGAAAGAAAATTAGTTACTGCAATATTATAGTTATGTGAGATGCAAACATTTTTCTATCTATGTTATGGAAGATAATTGTTCAAAAGAGTCCTACAGTAAGTGAAGGAACAGAGTCCACTTCTCAAAGTAATCCATTACTCAATGCCCAGGATAAAAATACAAAATGCTACTCAGTGAAATATATGCTACAGAGAATGGGGATAAAAGAGATGTCAAAAAGAATTATTTAAATGCTTTCTGATGGTTTATAGTGATCTGAGAATAAAATTAAGAATATTATTCAGCTGATTTGTCAGGAAAAAGAAAAACATCCAAATGTTTTAAAAGCATTTAGAAGAGTATTCTTTCTGCCTTTTTTCCATGGTATTAAAAGTATGCCATGACAGTGCCTGTATAAGAAAGGGTAGAAATATGCAAAACTCCCAGGCCATACCAAATTTGCTGTGGTGTGCATTTCAAGAACATGTGTTTGCAGTAATAAAAATGACCACCCCAGAATGAAAGGAATGAGAAAACCCCTTAGGGTTTTTATTGTCTGTCTGGATTAAACTACAATTCATCAAGCAAAGCACATCTCACAAGATGCTCCAGAAGAACATGGGGGTGGGCAGCTCATTACAATAAGCATGAAGAACACAATAGGAAAGGAGGCTGGTGTGGGAGTGTCATTCTAATGACTGTCATGTGGACCACAGAGAG